ACCTACCATGCAGCAATTTGGAAATATTACCAAAGATGCACACTCATCTCTTCCTGTAAACATACTTGTAGGAGAAGCCAAGAATGATCTAGAAGAACAGCCAAAATGCTGACACTCAACAAACACATGAAACAAGAGATTTTTATCCCATAGAATAAGACTAGTTACTAGGGGCAAAAAGTAACTATGTTAATAAAAGATACAAGCAGTTTGTTTCTTATGCCACATCCCAAATCTCTGGTAGCCACAGTAACAGAACAAACTCCCTTCGGGGGTGAGGGTAAACACTGAGAGAAACACAGCACCCCAGTATTCCCACCCCCACAGCAGGCTGATGACACCCTAAACGGAGAGGCCAGGTGGCGGTGAGATGCTGGGATTCAGCCAACAGTCTCCTTACATTAGATTTCTATTATTTAAAAGAGAATAATTTATCTAACAGAAAAAGCAACAATGTTTTTAGTAAGAGGTAAAGACCTTGGCTCACAATGCTGTTATCACTGCACATGGCAAAGCCTCTTCCTGTGGGGATCAGATCCAGAGGAGAATACACTGGCAGGCAACAAGCACACATCCCCAGAGCAAATCCAACACGCCCAGATGACCACCACTCAGACTGCCTGGTAAATGATGCCAGAAGCAAGCTGCTGAGGCCAGCAGTGGCTGGAAATGCTTATAAACATGAAAGAAAGTGCCCATTTCACTTGCAGTATAAGCTAACCGCCTTTCAGGGGACCTCAACAGTCCTTTCAGAGTATCAAGCTGAAGGTGTGGAGGGCACAAAGTTTAAAAAGTGTCTTCTCCAGACAATCTTTCAACTTGAGTTCCAGTTGGGTTCCACTAACCCAACAATTCATGCCAAGGCGACAACACACAGAGGAGACAGGTGGCAGGTGCGCTTGGCTGGTGCGGATCACGGTATAAAGGGGATGCATTTCCAGGGCTGGCAGCCTGGCGACTCTTCGGTCACGGTGAAACAGTGAAGAGCTCTTCACCGGAAGTGGCAATAGCAACTTTCTGATCCGTCAGCTCCTGATCTCAGCAGAGAGGCCCTGGGCACTGGAGTTGCTACTCTGGAACCCAGGGAAGGCCCACTGTTCTGCCCTCACCTGCTTCCCTGCACCAAGCCCTCCCCGTAAATGAACTGGAAAGGATACTGTTGCTCACAGCAGACCCTAGGGCCCTGGCCTGTTAACAGAGGAGGACAGCATGGGCATCATTCTAAGGTGGCACGTAACAGACTCTGAAACAACACGTGTGCTTCCAAACACTGACTTGAAGTACAAAGGTAAAACTGTCTTTCAGACTTTTAAAAATACACACCAACAATCCTGTACTTAGTATGCAGAAAATGTTTTCAGTTAGGCCTATAGCAAGATACTGATTGGCTCAAGGAGCCCCAGTAAGTACCAGACACATTAGCCTGGTTGGAAAAATAACCAGGCATAGGAAATCAACACCAGCAAGTTCTAGCTTTCTCGGCAAGTACCAAATTCAACAAGTTTTAAAATAGTTGAGTACTGAGATATGACTGTAATTTTAAACTGTAAGAAAAAAAATATATATAACAGATTCCCAAACAAACAGTCTGAAAAGCAATGTTTATTATTTATAAAACCCTAAAAATATGCACCAGTTCCTAAGTGATGGCCCCAGCCATCCTTTAACAGACAACAGAACCCGCCTCTCATTCTCGGCCCTTCTGTCCACACAAGTCATGAACTCTCTGCAAAGAGCCGACACAGGTTGGGGCAGAGGGCGGCACGGAGAAGCAGGCACCAATGTGCCCTGAGGGGACGAAACCCCTCCGCAGTGAGTGAGTATGCATGGACAGATGGGCAGCAGGATGAAGGGAGGGACCCCTGTGGAGCTGTGTGGCCTCCTAGCTCTCCTCCTCTGAGCTCCAGGACGAAGACTGTATCCAAGCACAGTGTGTACTGGGGAACTGCAAAGGCAAAACAGGGCCCCACAGACACCAAGTCCCTTCCAGATGCATGTCAGACCCTGGACACTTACAACCAGATGCTCAGCTCTGTGCAACTGCTGTGATGCTTTTGGAGGTCCTTCCAGTGTGCCCTGGTGCCACAACTCCCGGAAATGTCAGAAATGCCACGTGTTCAAAAGTACTAACCCAACTAAGGCAGGGCAAGACAGTTTCTCTGCTTGACACACATCTAAATCCCAGTGTTGTTCACTCAGATCTTTAAACCTCTGCCAGAGAACAATTCAGTAGGCACTGACTGAATATCCACAGACCATGATGTTTGCAGAAGGGTATCCTGGCCTAAAACACTGGACTTCTTCCTTTCTCTGTTCCATGTACAGACTGCTACAAACTAAATGTCTGCACTCTCCCCACAAACTCCTCAGTCAGAGCCCTGACCCCTAGTGACAGGTCTGTGCACTTAGATGAATAGATACGAGGCAGCCCGCATCTTCTTTCCCCAAACCATGGAAGGAAGACACATGAACTGCAATCTCAGGCATCCAGGCCATTCCAGCCATCTGGTGTCCACGTTCAACACGACACTAAGAGGGAACTCAACGTGGTGCAGGCAAGCACCTAAAACACTACTCAGGCTACGAAGGGTTCCAGGAAAAGACTACTAATTTAAATAAAACACCTCCAGTGTACCAGCACAGCAGCAGTCAAGCAGGTGGGGGCGGGGGGAGGGGTCCAGGAAGCAGCACCCTCCCCATGAGTCAGCTGGTGTGCAGGCAGCAAAACAAGATCCCTCACCCTCCTCATAAGCAACCAGCTGAATCGGAGGAACACAGGCTGAGAAGACAGCAACTGCAGTAAAGAAAGAACTTAATGCTTGTATTGTTTGATCGACTTTGCAGACCTAAAGCTGGTAGTCTGAGCATCTATTTAGAGGATAACAATATGCAATATAGTAACTATTGTGGATTTCCTACTCTGGTTTTTAAAGTCCAGTATCATTCTCATTGCTTTGTTTTATTCCCTTTAAAATAAAAATAATAAAAAATAAACCTTTCACTGACAGAACATGGAAAAGACACTTTAAGGTATTCTCCCCTGCCCAGCAAGCTGTAGAAAACTAAAAATAACTGAAATCAGTATTACAGCCACCAGGCATCCATCCCACCGCTTCCCTCAGCTGACATCTCAACCAGAGCTGGCTACAGCTCCCCCCAAAACTCATGAGGACAGGAAGAGTCCAGGAAAAGATAGAGTAAGAACACACAAACCTCCGGTTATGTACATGGAGCTTTTCTTTCTCTGTAATTCGTGTAGTTCAAAAGTTATACGGTATAATTTGATTTTTAAAAATTCTTGATGGAATAATCAAAAGAATGGTATCCCATCAACCATAATGATTGCAGGTCAAATAAGACTAATTCTTAACTATATCAGGATTCTTTACAGTCTTGGGCAAAGAGTAATTTTAACTGTAAAACAGGAAAGCCAGCCATGATGATGCAGCACCATAATCTGGGTACTTGGAAGGCTGAAGCAGGAGGATTGCTGCAAGTTCAAGGCCAGCCTGAACTACACAATGAAACCTCATCTCAAAAAATCCAAAAGAAATAAAATAAACTAGGAATGCTATGGAACCGACAGGCACACATTTGTACAGACCCCATAAAGGCTGGGGAGAAAGCAGGAAGCCACTGTCAGCCCTCCTGCTCCAGCCACGGGCACTCCCACATCCAACAGACAAATCAACTCATGGACCTCTTATCTCTGTCACCAGTCCTAGATGAAGTCACCATCCCTTCTGCCCCCAGCTAAGGATCTGCAGGGACTGGCAGGGTACCAAATACTGCCTCTGCCTGCTGATAAAGAACGCTGTACTGGGACAGTCTCGCACAAGTTCACACGCTGCCTCTGAGCACCCACACAGGATGATAGCAGAGAGGAGCCAGGGAGAAGGACACAGGGTCTAAAACGGCTGCACCCCACAGCAGGCAACGTGTGGAGGGTGCCGTGGAGGCCGCGTCTCCAGTGATGTCTCAGCATGTGTGTACCGGAAAAGTTCACAAACCCAGACTACATTACTAAATAACCCCCATTTGCTTTCCAAAGTGCAGGCTGCATGAAGGTGCTAAGAACAAAACTCACCCTCCATTCTATGCACAAATACATCTAAACTCTTCACAGAAACTCTCTGCTAACCCGAGCAGTGCCCATTGTGCCCCTACCCACTCCAACCTTCTCGTCTGGGCGATTCTGAGTCTCTTCAGACTCACCATGCTCCAACCTCTGGGCACTGGGCACAAAGCATCCCGAAGCAGGACACTGCTTGTCCCTCTCTGACCGGGTCCAGGTCACTGCTCAGCTCTCCACACAAATGTCACCCTCTCCGGGAGTCTTTCTGGGCCCCCCAGGCTGGGATGAGGCCATCATGAGTGATTCCACTTCCACCACTCTGCTGCTGCTGCACCTTCAGCTATTGCCAGCAGCTGGGAAGACCACGCTGGTGCCACCTGCTGCGGCGGTACTCAGCAGACACACACTGCGACGCCCTCGTACCAAGCAGAGCCCAGGGGCTTTACACTGAGCTGCGCCTCCAGCCTTATCTTCTTTTGTAAATTTTGACACAGGTCTTTGTTAAGTCACCAAGTTGCCCAAGCTGGGCTTGAACTTGTGATCCTTCTGCCTCAGCCTCCCAGAGTGCTGAGACTACAAGTCTGTACCACCATGCCCAACTCTTTTACTTCACATAAATGTATACTCTGCCTCACGTCCTAAGAACATCAACAACTTTGTCTTAAGTGATTTACCACATATCATCAGAAGACTTTATCAATGAAGATGACTTGGGCCTTTAAGTTAGTCATTTACAAGTAAAATGAGTTTACTCCTAATTTAAAAATCTGAAAACCAACCAAAAGACAATCTCCCTGAACACGCTCTGTGTGTGTTTTTGAGCTCAGAGAACACCCTGATCTTTGCAGCTTAGGCTCTAGTCCAGATCATATTTAAGGAAACTTTAATAAAAGCAGTGCGATATGAAAAGCGTGTCTCCTACTACCTGTTCTTCCCACTCCTTTTCTTTGGTCTTGCTCCTGTGGACTCTAGCAGAAGCGGCATCCTGGGCTGGAATGGCAGAGACCTGATGCAGTGGCATGTTCATCCCAGCCTGAGATCGGGTCCCCCTCTCTACGGAAGACAGTCTCCGCCGCTAGAGTCATCTTGGGCCATGGACCTCGAGCTGTAAGGAGAGAAACATAGCCCAGCTGAAACACTTGTCAGGTTTCCAGAATAAGATCAACATTCTGTATTTGCATTCACACTCATACCTTAAATAAATCACAGTGACACATGCTTCCTCTTTACAAGAAACAGGAGAGGACGTTTTAGGGAACCTACTCTTTCCATCTTGTAATAACTGGGAGCACCTGAAAGGCTGGTGGATCAGGGATGCGTAACCAAGAGATCAACTTTTTGGTGCCTACTCAAGCTTAAAATGCACAAAGCCTCCACTCCTTATGCTATTTTTGAAGTTAATTTTTTTTTCATAATAGAACACTCATCCTAATGTAAGTCATGGTCTTTTCTTAAAACTCCTCCCTTAAATCGACAGCACAGTAGTGAAATAAACCAGACCCACAAATGTAAATGTAGTCTCCCTAGCATAAGAAACCAAACAAGTAAATAGCCAGAATCTACAACAGATATTGTGAAAGGAAAAGAAACAGCTCCAAAGCAAAGAACAACTGGGATATGTGAAAAAATAAAAGAAAGATATATATTTATTTATATACAACAGATAGCTAAAACAATTATACTACTGATTTCTTAGTTCATTAAAAAATGGTTTGTGCTTATATTGTTTGATCAATTATGCATATCTATATCTTGTAACCTGAGCAACTACTTTAAAGATAACAATACACATTAACCACTATCGATTTCCTACTACCTTGTATTTGAAATTCTGTATCTTTGTTTTTATTGGATTTTTTTCTCTTTAAAAAACAATAACAAATCTACAGATGAGTCAGATCTGACACTAAGACGCCTAAAATAAATACACAGTATCAATGACCCCTGCCTAACCATGCTGGCAAACTTTTCCTGCGAAGCACAAGATAAATATTTCAGGTGTGTGGGCCACCTTGTACCTGCCACCTCCTCTGCCGGACAGCCCAAGGGCAGCCCTGCATGTGAATGAACCATTCCATCTGGCTCATTCTCGAGGTCAGGTGCAGGCCCCGGAAGAGACGGGGATCAGGTCTCAACAGGAGAGAATGTTTTTCTTACAGGAATGAGGTCTTACGAGCTACCTTAAGAGCAGGCTGTGACCAGGCACTGCCTTCCTCCTGCCATGTGAAGCACTACCTCTTCCTTTCTCCCCGATTTCTGGTGTTTCCCCCATGGGATGCCATCCGCCTTATGATGGCTCAGTGAGACACCCTCTCCAAAGGCCAACCTGATCCCATGCTTAGACCTCTGAAAGTGTGAGCTTATCAAACCTCTTTCCTTTGTGAAGTACCCAGCCTCTGTATTTCATTAGAGCAACAAAAAATGGACTAAGACCTTCTGCTCAAGTAAAGTGCTATTACACACACACACACACACACACACACACACGCACGCACGCACGCACGCATAGGTACGCAAACACACATACACAGGTGGCAGCTATATTTCCTCCCCTGGCTGTCATCTGCTGAGCACAGCTCTGAGGAGCACCCCAGGAAAGATGGGGCACTGGGTCCTGAGAGCCATGACCTGGCTGCTGCAGGTGAAGCAGCATCTGCCCAGCGATGGCTCCAGGCTTCCTCCCTTTGCCCCAGTTTTTTCTTCCTCCCCAAGTGCCCGGTAACTGAATTAGCATCCCACCATCACTGCCTTCTAAGGTCCCCAGAGAACTGTCAGGCTATGCAACACCAACTCCGCGCTCTAAATCCTAACAAAACACAGATGCCTTAAACCTGAAGGAGAACCCTCTTGTCTGAGGGTTTCATGTGCGAACCCCATCCAGGAGACAAGGTATTTGGAGGGAAGTCAACAGCAGGACCCACAGCCCTAAGGCCACATGCGACCTCTCAGGCGACAGTGAGGCTGGACACTTCACTGACCAGGCAGCAGACTCACAGGAGGACCCTTCCTGTTCCTCAGATCAACACACAGGAAAGAAGGGTCCAACACACACCTGAGCATGAGCTGAAAAATACTGTTTCTAAAAACAACTTTGTAACAGGAACCTAATTAGGAACACTACCAAGGAAGCAGGGCAGGTGACATTAGTGACTCAATGTTCCCTTGCTCCCCTCCAGCTCAAGGAAGTGGAAACGGGGGGCCCGGGCTCTGCAGGTGATGGGAAGGCTCGGGGTCCACACACATCACACAGTCACACGCATCCTGCTGACCTGCCAGACACTCTACAGGACAAGTGTCGCTCCTCGGTAAGCCGCTCCTTCATCACTACTGTGCTGCCATCCTCTGTCACAGGTGATCTTCATGTGGCCTCCCGGACCACCCCAGAGCCCCACCGGGGCTGCACTGCCTGTGGTGCCTCTGCTATAATCCTCACTGTTACATCACTACAGAGCTGGTGACCAGTTTGGCAGCACCAGTTGTGTCACAGAAACAAGCGTAAGAGGGCTTTTTTACATTTTCTGCAGGGTGCTGACAGGGCTGTCCTTCCTGACAGGCGAGTGAGCCGCTCTCCCGCCACGCACCCTGGCCTCTGAGCAGGGGAATCAGCCCCTTCATCCCGTCAGATATGTTCAGCATAAACACAAGGGCACAAACAGAGCACCCAACAGACAGTGGCCCTCCCTGGTGAAGGCTCACACAAACATGAAAGGAGGAGCAGGATCCATGGGGCAATCGTGTTTGGTAAGCTTGGCATGCAAAATCCACAAGCCCAGGGATTTTCATGCCAAGTAATCTATCAGGGCAAAGCTATGTAAACGGAGGCATTCATAGAAGCAAAGGAAGTCTGTGCAGTCATTGCAGCAACAGAGAAGCACAGACGTGACGTGCAGGTGATTTAATGACACAAATGCACGCGCTGAGTAAACAAAACATGCAAGGAAAAGATGCTTAGAGGGAAGTCACGAAAATGCTGATGGCAACTTAATGACACAGAAATATAAATGATTTTGCATTTCCCTGCCTTCCAAAGTTTCATAATGAGGTATTAGTGCCACAGTGAAATATATGCTTTTAAAGAGTTAAAATAAACATCTAAGGCAGCTCCGCACAGGCTAGCAACTGTCAGGATGTTATCCACAGGGATAAACAACCCAAAAAGGGCCGATTTTCGGTGAGGATGTATTGCTGATGGCCTCACAGAGTGAAAGTCCAACCCGGCGTACAGTAGAACCCACATGTGGGACGCAGCCATGCACGAGAAGGATCTGCCTCCTGCTCCTCTTCTGTGTTTTCACGTCTCCCTCGAACACTTCTGTGGAGACCTCGCCCTGCAACGCTCTGCAAAGCCAGCCCTGGGCACCATGGAAAGGCTGCCTTTATTTACGGAGCTGTTACATCTCACATTTTCTTCCAAGGGTTACCAATTGTGGAGACTGTTACTAGGTGAGGCCAGTTTTATTGTTGCGTTCACATCGCACAGCTTCCCCAGGGCACACCTCCCACAAAACAACATCATCACGGATCGGCTTTTGCCCACGAGGACAGGAGCTCAGGACGTGAACTGTATAGCAGACACAGTGGTGCACAGGGCAGGAAGACGGGGCGGGGGGAGGTGCGGGGGGAGGCTGCTGCTTGGCCCTGTCATACGCTGAGCATGTGGCAGCGCTCACAGGCCACCGCTGCTCACGTGGCTTTGTCAGCATGTGTGCCAGACAGGAAACCTCTCTACCGGAGGCAGGAACCACCACCTTTCACCCCAGAGAACAGTACACAGCGGTATCAGTAACTATACGTTTTCTCTTAGTCATGGCTATAAAAGGTCCAGGTCCAAACTAATGCAACAGCCTCCCTTTCATGAGGGAAGCCTGGGGCACACCCTCCTGAGAGGCCTCCTCAGCATGCCACCACACGCCCCGATCTGCGTGGGAGACCAGGCTTTCCCTGTAAGCAGCATTTACTGTAAAGTCCCCTTGACTCCTTCCATCCTCTCTCGGACACAACTGAGGCCTCTGCCCTTTCATGAACCCAGTAAATTGGGAGGGCACCCCACCCCTGGTCTGGGGCTCCCTGTGCCCCCAAGGATCTTATCCACCGCCCTCCGCCCCAAGTCCCTGTCATGCCACTTCTCAAGGACATCACAGAGTGAGTGGCTCATATTACTTCATGCTGGACACAGGTGATAAAACTCTGCATCATGACAAATGGCAAAGTGTTCTGTGTGCTGCAAAGCTCTGCAAGAGTGCACAGAATCCCACATGGCCCAACTACAGACAGACGCCTGCTCCACCGAGCCTGAGACCAGGTCAGGCTGCACAGTCCTGGGACACTTCAGGGAGACAGCAGAGTGACCCAGCAAGGACAAGCAAACACCCACTACTACGCGACCAGTCTAAAACCCCACAGCACGTGCACAGTAGAACACAACAGCCTTGCAAAATGCCAGGGAGACTGTGTCTACACACCTCTACACAACTAGCAGCAGGAGCTAACGGGAAGACAAAAGAAGGCAACCATGAGCACCTGCCACTCAGCTAGACAGGAGCTGAGGGGACACAGGCACACACAGCAGGCACACGTGTGCACACCAACCACATTGTAAGTGGAATGGGAGGGCACGGGACTCAGAGCTGAGCTTCTCCAATTGTACTATGTCCTGCAGAGCTGGTTCTGGAAGCCTGTAAACGCTGTTCATAATTACTTCTTTTTCTTTCTTTTGAGACAGTGCCTTACCCTGTAGTCCAGGCAAAGCTCAAAATCACTTAGATAGTCCAGGCCGTCCTCAAACTCACAGTGATCCTCCTGCCTCAGCCTCTTGAGCCCTGGGATTACAGGTGTGAGCCATTTGTCCAGCTCTTTAAAAACCAATCAAAACCCACTCATCTCTAAAATTCAAAAGCAAAATGAAATAAACCTAAATTTCCCTCAAATTGGTGGTGTAATCATACAAGATGGTATTACTTCAAATGACTTATAGCACAAAGTCATCTTATTGGGGCTGGAGATTTAGCTCAGCGGCATAACCGCGTGCCTTGCAAGCAGGTAGTCATGAGTTCGATCCCCGGTACCGATAAAAAGGAAAAAGACAAAAAAAAAAACAAAGTCACC